ATATCGCTATTTAAAGAAAACTTTGGCTATTTAAAAGCTTTGATACTAGTTTTTTCATAGTTAGCTAGCAATTCAAACAAAACAACAGTTGCACTCAATTATTTAAATAGCTGCGTGGCTCATTGTTTTGCGTTCTGGTTTTTTTGAATTCATCCTCACATCAACCAAGCAACCCCCTGCTAGTGGTTTATTTTGTTTTTTTCGAAATAAAAGATATTAGATGATAAAAAGATAAAATAAAAAAAACGAATTCATCCTCACATCAACCCAACAACCCTCTGCTCGTGATTTATTTTATTTTTTTTTTTGAAGTAAAAGAAATTAGATGATAAAAAGATGAAATAATAAGAAAGAATCCATCTTGTTATCAACCAAACACAAACCTCTGATCGTAGTTTATTTTTTTTCAAAGTAAAAGATATTACATGATAGAAAGATTGCATAAAAAAACGAATTCATTCTCACTCAACCAAACAAACCTCTGCTCGTGGTTTATTTTGCTTTTTTTTATTACAGTAAAACATATTAGATGATAAAAAGATGAAATAAGCAAAAAACAAATTCATCCTCATATCAACTAAACAAACCCTGTTCTGAAGAATCAGCAAGGTAGGATGAATATTTGAGCAAAATATCTACTAGTGATGATAACGTAGTATTCTTTTTGATGCTTATAAGAATAAACATATAATTGTCAGTATTTTTTATTGTTAGAAATCGCAGACCCTGATTTAGGTTTTCTTCTTTTCTATCGCAATTTTAAATAGTTGCAAGATATTTAGATAGCAATGATAGGATAAAATAGGCAAATGAATAATTAAATTTCTATGCAAATCATTAAATAGCTACAAAATCTTTAGAAAGCTATGATAGGATTAAATAGCTATGTAAATCATTAGATAGCTATAGCAACTTTAAATAGCTACAAGATCTTTAGATAGCTATGATAGCATTAAATAGCTATGCAAATCATTAAATAGCTGTGCAAATCTTTAAATAGCTATAGCAAGTTTAAATAGCTGCAAGATCTTTAGATAGCTATGATAGCATTAAATAGCCAAATGAATGATTAAATAGCTATGTAAATCATTAGATAGCTATAGCAAGTTTAAATAGCTACAAGATCTTTAGATAGCTATGATAAGATTAAATAGGCAAGTAAATGATTAAATTGCCATGCAAATAATTAAATAGCTATAGCAACTTCAAAATAGCTACAAGATCGTTAGATAGCTATGATAGCATTAAATAGTCAAGTCAAAGATTAAATAGCTATGGAAATCATTAAATAGCTACAGCAACTTTAAATAGCTACAAGATCTTTAAATAGCTATGATAAGATTAAATAGGCAAGTAAACGACTAAATTGCCATGCAAATAATTAAATAGCTATAGCAACTTCAAAATAGCTACAAGATCGTTAGATAGCTATGATAGCATTAAATAGCTATACAAATCTTTAAATAGCTATCGCAAGTTTAAATAGCTGCAAGATCATTAGATAGCTACGATAGGATTAAATAGCCATGCAAATCATTAAATAGCTGTGCAAACCTTTAAATAGCTATAGCAAGTTTAAATAGCTGCAAGATCTTTAGATAGCTATGATAGCATTAAATAGTCAAGTCAAAGATTAAATAGCTATGCAAATTATTAAATAGCTATAGCAACTTTAAATAGCTATAGCAACTTTAAATAGCTGCAAGATCTTTAGATAGCTATGATAGCATTAAATAGCTATGCAAATCATTAAATAGCTGTGCAAAACTTTAAATAGCTATAGCAAGTTTAAATAGCTGCAAGATCTTTAGATAGCTATGATAGCATTAAATAGTCAAGTCAAAGATTAAATAGCTATGGAAATCATTAAATAGCTACAGCAACTTTAAATAGCTACAAGATCTTTAGATAGCTATGATAGCATTAAATAGCTATGCAATTCATAAAATAGCTGTGCAAACCTTTAAATAGCTATAGCAAGTTTAAATAGCTGCAAGATCTTTAGATAGCTATGATAGCATTGAATAGCCATGTAAATGATTAAATAGTTGTGCAAGTCATTAGATAGCTAAAGCAATTTTAAATAGCTATAGGATCTTTAAATAGCTGTGATAAGATTAAATAGCCATAGCAACATTAAATAGCTAGAAGATCTCTAGATAGCTATGATAAGTTTAAATAGCCATGTGAAAGACTAAATAGCTACACAAATGGTTGAATAGCTATGGAAGCCTTTAAATAGCTATGGCACGGTTAAATAGCTACAAGATCTTTAGGTCACTATGACAGTATTAAATAGCTATGACAATGATTAGTAGTTAGACTAGGAAATCATTGAACAAGTGTCTTCGAAGTCATTTGATGCTAATTATACACAAAAAGAAATTGTATCTCTTTTGAGAATGAGCCGTTATAGTCGTATAATAACTACTTATCAAAACAGAAATGCGTATAGGATGCATAAATTGAAGAAAAAGTCATGTTCACCTTTTGTTCTCCAACTCCAACTCATTTAATTCTCTTTCCAGCAGAAATGTAGGAGAGTAGAACATAATATTGTTCAACGAACTCTATCAAATGATACATTGAAATTACATATCAAAGAAGAAAACAAGTAAGATTGACTATAAAAAACTGGTGGTCATCATAGGCGAATCGTTTTGAGAAACTCTCGAATCATTCGCTAGTTTCCTTTACATGATGTAATTAACCTTAGAGATGACTCATAATATTATGATATCACACTGACGTATTACAAAATTTTTTATATACAGGTAAAATTATAGCAATATCTCTGAGGCCCAAGATAACATCTCTTTTCTTTTCTTTTCTTACTCTTATGACTATGAGAGCAATAAATATAGATAAAGGAGTTTCGAAAAATATTTATTCTATTTTAAGCTGAAGTTTCTTTTAGAATGTAATGCATAGCAATCCGGCGTACGTTCAATTTGACATTGAAAATCATAGGCAATCCAAATGGTGGCATCATCGTTGGGTTAGGATCTTTGGGATCGTTTTCATCGTTTTAACAATTGTAGTGGCTACTCTATCTTTGTTGTTAAAATTTGTCATTCTTGCTCCAACGAAGCCAGAAAATATCATTACTAGCACATCATCTTCGAGAGTAACAACAACAATAACATCAACAGCAACGGTCACATCGACATTAATATCAACCTCGACGACAACAGGATCAACAACAACAACAACAACAGACACATTGCCATTAACATCAACATCAACGACAACAGAATCGACAACAATCGCATCGACAATAACATCAACAACAACATTCACATCGATAATAACATCATCAACAACAGTCACATTGACAATAACATCATCAACAACAGTCACATCGACAACAGTAACCAACACTCCGCAATCAAGTGAGTTTGAGAGTCACACTTCTCCGAAGTAATGTGAATAAGATAAATCTTAAAAAAGAAAACGTAGTAAAATGACGGTGCACCGATTGTAGTAAGACTAATTTTAGTTATTAATACCATCACATATAAACTTATATTTGCTTCAATACACATTATTCCTAGAAAGAATACATGCTAATGATCTTGTTTAGGATGGCTTAATACGGGTAATATGAATGACGGACGGCATGAGCATACAGCATCGTTGTTAAAAAATGGAAAAGTATTAGTTGCTGGTGGCAATGGGGATCATGCCCTTAATAGTACTGAGCTTTATGATCCATCAACAGAAACATGGACAATTACTGAGAGCATGAATAATTCACGATATGCACACACAGCATCTGTATTAGCAGATGGAAAAGTGTTAGTCACTGGCGGATACGATGGTAACGCATATTTGAACACCGCCGAGTTATATGATCCATTAACAGAAACTTGGACAGTTACTAGTAGCATGCATGATGCACGAAGTTTTCACACAGCAAATGTATTAACAGATGGAAAAGTATTAGTTACGGGTGGCTATGGTGGCAAGACTATTTTAAATAGTACTGAGTTGTATGATCCATCAACCGGAATTTGGACAGTTACTGGCCGTATGAAGCAAGCACGAGACGGGCACACAGCATCCCTATTAGCCGATGGAAAAGTATTAGTTATTGGAGGTTTTGGCAACGGTAATCCTCTAAATACTGCTGAGTTATATGACCCATCCACAGAAACTTGGAGTACTAGGTCTAACATGCATTATGAACGACAATATCATACAACATCCGTATTAACAAATGGAAAAGTGTTAGTTACTGGTGGATATCATCGTAGTGTGACTGAAAATAGTGCTGAATTGTATGATCCATCAACAGGACGTTGGACAATTATTGATAGCATGAATGATGCACGACATAATCACCAAGCATCGCTATTAACTAATGGAAAAGTATTAATTACGGGTGGCTATGGTGCGCATATTTTAAATAGTACGGAGTTGTATGATCCAGCAACAGGAATTTGGACCAATGGTGGCAACATGAATAATGCACGAGATTATCATACTGCAACCATATTAACAAATGGAAAAGTGTTAGTTACAGGTGGAGATCGTGGCAGCACTTCTCTAAATTCTACCGAACTATACGACCCGCCAACAGTTTTAGTGGTATAAACAGATTTAAAACATTGACACAACTGTCTTTTTCTAATAACAATGAATTATTTCTTTTCATTCATTTTTTAAAGCAAATATCTATAAAAATTTATCTGCATTAAATAAATGTTTGTACCTAAACTGCTAGGCGGATATGTTTGGGCATCAATTGTGCCACAAAACTTTTTGCTGCAGGGAAATTTGCATTTGTACATTATAGCATCAAAGCTTCGTGACTAATAATCATACTTCGCCATACATGTGAAGACTGTTGTCGAACAAATACGCGCATACACCGATGATAAGTCAAAGTAACGCTGCAAAGAATATTTGTCGTTGAATGTTTAATTGGATTCTGTGTCTATCGCGTGTCAGGTTGACATACATGCAAGGGCGAAACAGCATGGACTTCGGTCTTGAAGTCTGATGAAATCCTAGAAGTCTTTTGAAGTCTTTTGAAGTGTCATGGAGTCTTATGGAAGTCTTTTGAAGATTTATGAAGTCTTATGAAGTCTATGAAGTCTAGTGAAGTCTTTTGAAGTCTTTAAGCTAGGAGAGGGTGCTACCGTTCTCGCTCAGTCCCGTTATCAATTTTCAAGTAACGGTAACGCGCCATTACCCACTAAGGAAACACATCAAAATATTCTCCGGTCGGACGGTCGCTATTCCTTTATTCCTGTATTCCGCCGTTCCGCTATTCCGCTATTCCTATATTCCTCAACTATTCCTCTATTCCGCTATTCTCTTGTTTCTCTATTTTTCGATTCGTTTATTTTTCTATTCTTTTTTTTATTCATCGCTCGATTGTTTACTGCCTTTTTCGTCTAAAATTGAACTTTCTCTCTTCAAAGATAATTCATTGGTCTCTTTGAAAGTAGTCATCATGCATTCATCAAGCTATCCATTGCTCATTCAAATTAAAAATATATATATAATGTGAACATATATTTCAGAATGAAAATATTTGAATGCTCATGTATAAGAAATTTTTCTTGTTTAAAATGTAGTGAGTCTTATTTATGGTTTGTTTGTCGGTCACGAACTTGTATAAAAGAAGTGACCATGCTAGCTTATTTGTTGTCAAGGCTCCAAATAGACTAGACGAATTAAAATTGTATTAAGCAACGTGATTGTTTCATTCAATATTAAATCATCTTTATGAGATGAATTAATGGATTATTCAGTATTATTTCGTCTTGTGCATTCGAAGCCAAACGACTATTCCTTATTCCATCTATCTTTTTCAATTCACTTGTTAACATAGAAATTGTTCGCTGATGATGTTCCACATTCTTCTCTTTTTTTTGATCGTTTCATCTCTTTGATGTTCTCTTCTTTTCTATTTCTTAATAAAACGATTAATAGTGTGGAAAAGAAGGAACTGAACTCGTGCTTATTTCTTATTATAATAATAACAAGAATAAAAGTTTTCTAGCTGCTCAACGATATTATTTCGAACGAAATCAATTCATGTACTCTGTTTTTCATTTTACATATGTACATGCTTTATTATTTTCGATGAAGCTGCTGTCAAAATTATTTGATATTTATCAATATCAATCCTTATTGATAAAGAACAATTATTTTTTCAACATGGTTCATATAAAAAGAAAGTCATTCTTTGACAAATTACATTGCTGCCAGCTCAAACATTCTTTTTCTTTTTTATTGTTGTTATAGTGAGGAAAATCATCAATGAAGCTACATCTTTTCCACATTATTAATCGTTTTATTAAGAAATAGAAAAGAAGAGAACATCAAAGAGATGAAACGATCAAAAAAGAGGAGAATATGGAATATCATCAGCGAACAATTTCTATGTTAACAAGTGAATTGAAAAAGATAGATGGAATAAGAAATAGTCGTTTGGCTTCGAATGCACGAGACGAAATAATACTGAATAATCCATTAATTCATCTCATAAAGATGATTTAATATTGAATGAAACAATCACGTTTCTTAATTCAATTTTAATTCGTCTAGTCTATTTGGAATCTTGACAACAAATAAGCTAGCATGGTCACTTCTTTTATATAAGTTCGTGACCGACAAGCAAACCATAAATAAGACTCACTACATTTTAAACAAGAAAAATTTCTTATACATGAGCATTCAAATATTTTCATTCTGAAATATATGTTCACATTATATATATATTTCTAATTTGAATGAGCAATGGATAGCTTGATGAATGCATGATGACTACTTTCAAAGAGACCAATGAATTATCTTTGAAGAGAGAAAGTTCAATTTTAGACGAAAAAGGCAGTAAACAATCGAGCGATGAATAAAAAAAAAGAATAGAAAAATAAACGAATCAAAAAATAGAGAAATAAGAGAATAGCGGAATAGAGGAATAGAGGAATAGTCGGGGAACAGTTGGGGAGTATAGGAATAGCGGAACGGCGGAATATAGGAATAAAGGAATAGCGACCATCCGACCGGAATATATTTTGACGCGCTCCCTAACTATCCCTGGGAAGCGCTCATTTTAAAACAATATCCAATATATGATTCGATGCAGAATTGAATGGGCTACAAATGAAATAGATTCTTTTTTGGAAATCAATCACCAATCCAACCATTTGGTCAAAATACTGCAAAATGCACGAACTTGTATATGGTGAAAAATCAATGAATTTTGACTTTTTCGATTCTGAATTGAGACTTAAGAGAAATGCCATATATACAGTTTTGTAGAGCAATTCAAGCTCTATCGATTGGTATATAACTCAATTTCACTCGAGAAAAAAATTCATAAAAAGTTATAGATCAATTTTTTGCACTTTTTGAGGGCATGTGTGAGGGGTATCTCAGGTCGGTCCATTGTAGCTAACTAAGAGTAAAGTTTTAAGCCGTAATATTTTGGATTGTTCAATGGCACACCAATGCCTAACTTGCTATAGGGTCAAATTTGAAATCCGCTTCCCGCCATGTTTTCGCAATCTCTGGTCGTCTCATGGAACGTCTCTTAATTGACACAAATCAATGTAGTAGGATAATGTTGATTTAACACGTGATTCAGAATAAGTGAAGATTTCAATTTTTTACTTTAACTCAGTTAGTTGTGATCCTTTCACGATACATTTTTTTTCGAAAAGGTCTATCATCCAATTCTACAGAGACAAAATTTGATCTATGTGAACATTGAGTGTGTGTTAGTAATTTTGAATAACATAATGGAAACTCAACCTTTTTTATATGAAATCTTAAAAATACTGAGAAAGTTTTAGTTGTCTTGGTTTGTTTAAGCAATAAATTCTAAAATTTATTTTCAAAGCGACTAGAAAAGTGTTCTAGTTTAATTTTTCTGTTCAACTTTCTCAAGACAAACTTCTAATAGCATAGTTCTATGTTGAACGCAATGGCGTGTCTTTTAGACAAAAAAATATTAGCTTGAACGAATGAAAATGTATCTGTTAAAAGTCAATAAATGTCATCGGAGATATTTAAAAACAATAGATGATCTGAAAATTATTATAACGAGTCGCATACAATCATTTTGTTATTGTCGTTTTTTTTGCCGTGTTTTTCTAATGATCAACTAATTGAATTTATGGCTTATTAGTTAAACAAGCGATCTCATTGTGTCAATTAATTCGAGATTTTCATTTTCATCCTTATTTTTTACATCGACTCTCCTCGAACTGTACCTTCATGACAATCAAATCGAAGACAATGGATCACTTCAAACCAACCAAGTATTCTTCGTTTTCGAGTTGATGTCCCTAATATTGATGTCAATCTCATCCTCACGATACAAAACTGAAATATATGTGGAGATTCAGCTCAATTAAACAATCCTACATAAGGAACCGAACGATTGTACTAAATTCATGACATCAAAGTATCGCTATATTTTTTCTGACTTCATTAAGAACATCTTTGTACATTATGCGCGAGAAATAAATACTCAAGACTATCACTTCTCAGTGTATCTGGATTGCCGTTCTTGAGATGTCGTAACCATTTATGAAAATACATAGATTTTCTTTTCTAAGTATCTTGTTTGAATTGTTTTGCGCATTTTTCTTATGTTGCAAGATGATATAAAACATGCTATACGTAAATGATAATGCATTGATAAAGAAAGATATTAAATTTAAAAGGTGTGCAAGATGCAGATGTTCGTCATTGCTCTGTAAGACACAATAAAGTAACAAAAATAGCAACATAATGTTTCGATATTATCTTATGCCTATTCGTGTAAGCATCAAATAGTTTTGAAAAGTAGTGAATACCTTTTTTTTAGGATTATTATTGCAAATAATGGTAAGTGCAAGGTAACATTTTAAAAATACTAATTAATTTCTTTTTAATATGTCTGTTTTGTTCTTTTTTAGGTCAACCGTTATATAAAGAATCCAGTGAATGTGAGTACAAATTAAATTACTGATGCTCAGATGTACTAAATAGACCTGTTTTCTATGAAAAAGCATATCAGTATCCTTCTTCGGTGAGGTAAAATGTGGATTTTGCATGCTAATGAATAAACAATCTTCAACATTCATTTAAAAAGTATAAAGAGTACTGTCGATCATTATTCATGTTCTTCTTTTTTCTTTGAATTTCAACGCTTCGATCATACGAGTTCATCATTGAAATCAGTCTAGAAAATTTTGAAAATTCAATTTCGTTTCGTATCTAAAAAAAGAGAAACAAACTCAAAAAATATTTTTCTTCAAACATAAGGTCCAGGCAATCTTAAATGGAGCAAAACAGCAACAACATTGTTTGGTGGTTATGATTCAGGACCAAATCAATTAAGCCTTCCTACAGGTTTATTTATCGAGCCAAAAACACAAATTTTGTATGTTGCTGATAATTTCAATAACCGCGTTCAAAAACCTTATCCCAATGATGAAATTAAAACCGCTGCTGGTCAAGCCAGGGTGTGGGTGGGTGTGGGGTG